TGCTCCTGGTGGAAGAAACATACTCCACACCCCTTGCCGTCATTGAGACCTTTGTGGTGGCCAATCAGGTGAGCTAGGGTGGGGGTGGGAAAGCACTGCGGTGTGCTGTGGGGCCAGTGGCACCTGGCACGCCCCTCCTGCTCCCCCGGGTGAGAAACAGGCGTGCTGAGGGAGACACCGCTGCCGTAGCCCAGGGCGTGCTCTGTCCCTGCCTACCTGCCCACCTGCATGTACCCCTGAAGACCTTTCTAAGTACCCCTGGGGGTACATGTACTGTTTGTACCACTGTCCACCAGATGGTGCTTAGGGATCGTTAAAGTGCAATTAACCCTTAAATGGAATGTGAAATACAAACACAGAACTCAAGTGTCCCAAAATAAAAGTATAACTTTATTACTACAACAAGTATTATCTTAGCAGTTTCTATATTCAGAGAGAGAAAAACACTTAGTACAATGAATGATCTCCTGCAATCCCAGGTGTTACTTTGCTTCACAGAATAGACAGCCACTCAGTTCCTGAAGCAAAGGGTGTGTCGTTGACTGTGACGATCCAGGCAAGTGTTGAAAGCTGGATTCATGATGAAAATGATGATGACGATGGCACACTTAACTTTCTTGCTCCCCCCCTTTTATGCTCTTCTTTAACTTGACTCCTTTGATGCCTTGCTTTCGGCTTGGTCTCTCTGCAGCCAGCATATTGTCCATATTTTATCTTGTCAGCATATGTCTTTGTTCAACAGACCCATTACGAGCATGCCTCTTAATTTGGCCTTTTTCTAGTGTCTTACTTTAAGCGTTGTCCGTTGGTCTTCTTTATCACCTTTCATTAACATATCCAATCATTTCATCCCTCTGATTCAGCTGGTTAGTGCCAAGTTCAGTTAATTTGAGCCAGTAACAAAACTAGTACTGTTTTGTATTAGAAAAAACTTCTCACAGTGATAGAAAAAGGAAAAAAACATCATGTGAGCAAACTCAAGGCCATAAGCTGCTTGCAAGAAACAAGGCCAGCTGATATTGCAAACACCAGCAAAAAGAAAACTAAACAATACTATTATTCACCACTCTATAAACAGGTGCAACTTCAAAGCATAAAATATGCCAGGTCACCCTAATAGGTACCCCTGGTTGACAATCTCTGATTTAACATATTGAGTGACTTTTCAGAAAACTGTGTTATCTGGTTATAAACCTGATTGCAGTCAGCAGCAAGAAAAAATGTCTATAGTTTTGCTTCAAAGCAGGGAAAAATAGGTACGCTTTCTAATGCAACAGGCAGCAGTGTTTTTCCAGCACTGGGCTGAAATGACTCAGCTCAGGTGTGATGCAGGCTGGCACTAGGACCTGGTGGCTGGGTTCAGGCTAGAGCCAATGGCTTTTTTGGGCTAGATCCTGCCTGTGGGCTGCAGGTTGCCAGTCCCTGCTCTAAACTGTTTCTAATCAGATGGAGCAAAAATACTTTTGTTTCCAGCAGTTCATGCTTTATTTTTCTGGTCACTTAAAAAACAAAACAAAAAAAACAAAAAAAAAAACACAGCTAGGACTGGGATTCTATTAATCTGGTTTAGGGTAGGCAATACTGTAATACAGCCCTTCTGGAGCTTTTTTTTCTCTTTCCAGATCTTGGAACTGTTGACTCGAAGTAGGCTGACAGTTCAGGCTATTGGATAAGTTTCAGGTTCAGTATAAGGGTTCTGACAACACTGTGAGTTTTCTTGAATCTGCTAAATTTGTGTGAGAAGTTTTTTGTTAGAGTAAGAGAGTATTTTGTGTTCTTCGTTTTGACTATAGCAAGTTATTTGCTTCACCTCAAATATTGACCTCATAGGGTGCAGACAGGAAGCACAGCTCCCATCTGTAACTCAGAAAGATTTATGCAAAATGTTCTGAGTTACAATGTTACATCAGACCAAACAGAAGTTCACTCTTGGTTCCAGGGGTGAAGGGAATGGGGCTGGGGCTGGGAGCCTACAGCCAGGTTCCCATAGCAGCGGCCAGTGCTCACTGTTTTCAGAATGGGAGGGGCAAAAGGCAGTGGAAGGAGCTTGTTCTTGGGGCTCCCCAGACAGTGCTGAAGGGTGGGGTGGGTGAATTGGAGGCCCCCCTACCTTGGGGGAGCTCTAATACACCCACCCCATTCTCCAAGGGGCTGTAACCTCTCTCCCTGCCCTCTCCCCCCCCCCTTCCCTTCCCTCCTCCCATTCTGAAAAGTGACAGGCTGGGGGTTCTGCAGATTCAAGTTACAAAAGACACCGTTTAAAATGTTTTTACCTGATACCTTATACAGTGAGGGGTCAGATTTACACTCGATTGCCCATTTTTAAAGCTATTTGCAGCCATGCACTTGTTTGTTCACAGATAAACTACTTTCTGTGGCCAGATCAGGCAAAAATAGTCACTTCTGTCTGCAGCTAAAAATGTGAGATGCAGATTCTATTAAGTTTGTCTTGATAATCTCAATATTTTGTCTTTGGAAAATTGTAGTTTTCAGTCAATTTAGTGCTAAGGCTGGAAGGACTTTCTTCCAATCAAAGAATTGCATTTTTGTATGTAATCTCATTTTGTACCTCAGAGCTATTTATAGTATGTGGGAGGCAGGTTTTCCAACTCGAGTCAGACTTATGAGACGTGAGATGCAATTTGTTGTGGGTGGTCTCTTTCATAAGGAAAATGTTCATCTCTGCTTTCAATTCTATATTTGTTCATATAGTATCTGTTTCTCATTTAAAAAATTGGGAGGGGTACTGACTATTTTTTCTCACCACTCTTCCCAAAACAACATAACTATTGAGGAAATCTGCTCTATCAGAATCTCAAGTAGAAGTGATATTTGTAGTGAACAGTATTCAGAGGGTGCATCTACATGTGCAAGTAATGTGTCTGAATTTTCTGTGCAGAAAGTTCAAGCACATTAAACTGCTCCTGGGCATGTGTCCAAATGTGTGCCCACTTTGGGAGCGCTGAGGGCAGCCCTGGGCTAGCAGAGGGCATGGGGGAGGGGGACTCAGGCCTGGGCTCCAGGGGCAGGGGAAGGGACTGGGGACATCTTCCCACCTGCCCCCCAGAGCAGCTCCAAGCCGCAGGCAGGGAGCTGTCACCAGCTCCCTGCCTGCCCCCCAGAGCTTGGGGCTAGCCTTTGGGCCCATGCTGCCTGGCCTGACTTGGAGCATTTTGTTCCTGCTCAGCGTCTGTGTGTGCGCTTCAGCACATGAGTTCAGTGGGCAATCTTGTAGTACCTGTATCTACCGGTATTAGAAAACAGCTCATTAGATTAATGTATTTTGCAGTAATTGCTGTGCACATGTAGATGGTGATGCTTTATTGTGCGTTAGATTAGTCTTATGCATAATAAAGCATCTCTTGCAGACACCCAGAAAGTAAACAAACAAACAAACCTGTTTCTTCATAGATCTTGGGTGATCAGTTTGAAAGGAATGCTGTAAGCACCTGTCTAAATCAGTGATTCTCAATCTTTTTATACCCCAGGCAGCCCAGGGAAAATATCGGCTCTTGCTTTTCACTTTGGAAGAATAATAGAGCAGTTCTTCTGTTGCAAAGAACTGAAGAAAAACCCAACCTATAGTGTCAAAAACATTTAAACCTGTTGTGGTCCATCTTGCAAATAATGTATAGGTGTTTGCACACCTAATGGTGCTAATATTTCATAGCATTCTGTGGCACCCTTAAAAGGATCTCCCATCACCTCAGATTGCCATGGCACCCTAGTTGAGAATCACTGGTCTATATGGTTCATACTGTGCTTTTGTAGGGGTGCACTGATTAAAAAAAAAAAAAATTTCTTGGCTGATACTGATGGCTGATTATTAGCCAGCCATATCAGCTGATACTGATCCAATAGCTGATTTTTCAGGAATGCAGCACAGTGGCTTGGAAAGCAGTGTCTGCCTGGTAAGTCTGTTGGGGAAAAGGGACAGAAGAGAGAGACGGTGTTGGGGGGTGGGGTGGGACAGTTTGAGGCCCCCACAGTGAGGGAGGGATAGGGGCAGGAGCAGGCATTGCCCAGCTAGGGCAGTGAATGTGACCTGGTGAGTGGGACAGCCACGGGCTCCCTGCCATTGCACAAATCCCTGGAGGAGGCATAGGGGGCTTATGCCCCCCAAATTTGTGCACGGGGCAAGGGCAGGTTGCCCACTGTGGGCTCTGGGCCAGGGGCTATGCCAGCCTCTTCGTGGTGGGGGTGGGGCTGGGCCAGGGCTGTGCTTGGGGTGGGCGGGAGTGGCACTGGGAGCGGTGGCTATAGGGAATTTTGACATGGCTAAAACCCACCCTGTAGCCACCCTTCCCAGCGCCACCCCGAGTGCACCCCAGCCTTGAAGAGTCTGGCACAGCCCCTGGCCCTGAGCCTGCAGTGGGCAGCCCACCCTTGTCTTGTGCACAAATTTGGGCGGCACATGCCCCCCCATGCTTTCCCTGGGAGTGTGTGGAATGGTGGGGAGCTGCACCCTTCACCGCCCCTCGGATGACCCACCTATGGCTCCATCCTGCTCCCGGGGTTGCATTCACCACCCTAGCTAGGCAGCCCCTGCCCTGTTCCCTCCGTTACCGTGGGGGCCTCAATCTGTACCCTCTGACTTACCAGTGAGATGCTGCTTTCCAAGCTTCTTGGCTGCATTCCTGGCCACTTGCATGCTGCAACTGCGCACATGCATGTGGCATTTATTGGTGACATTATTGGCTACACCAGCCAAAAAAAGGAGATTGCCAATAATGTTAATTTTCTTTTTATTGGTGCCTATCTGATATGGACTGATATATCAGTGCATCTCTAGTGCTCTAAAATGCAGTTTAGCTAGTGTTAATACCTAGGCCCTTAAGGCTTACTCAACCTGGCTAAAAAAGCACTGATGGTGTCTTTAATGTTTCCAGGATAAGAATCTTTAAGGCTGCTGTCAGATATCATACACCTTTGTTTACAAAGCATTTGTATTTTATGACATCTATATGTGAGCTAACTTTTATAAGGATAGTTCTGTGATCTGTTTCATTAGAACTCTTCAACCTTTCTTTGACTCACCCTGCTTGATTTATTTGCCCTGTTTGGTTAGACTTGTACAAGTGCAAATAATTAAAGCCACACCTAAAGAAATTGTTGCTTATCTCATCATGCAGTTCTTGAAGAATTCTATTCGATCCATTTATATACAAGCAAGGTGTTCAGCTGGCACTGCTGAACTTTGGAAGTCTTTCAGCAAGTGGTAACCATTAGGTCTGTATGAGTGCCTTCTTGAGAGAGGCTGTAAAATTTTGAAGTGGCTCCAACTGTCTCAAATTCTATCAGTAGCGCCAGGGTCTTGCTGCTATGGCTGGAATGGAGCACTGTGCACCTTTTGATAATCTTTGCACCAATGGTCTCTGCAAGGAAGCCTGCATATAGTCCTACTGTTAGATGTTTCAAAGTGCAAAAACAACACATTTAAACCACTAAACGGAAGGAGATATGAGGCATCTTGAAGCATTTAGTTCACTGCACATACATGATCAGTTAGCTACTCCTCACCATTGCACCTATTTGAAAAAAAATTGCTCTATAGTTGAGGAGCTTGTCTACATGTACTGCCGCTCTGAAATAGCAGACTTCGCCAAATACATATATTGACTCTGTTTTGTAAGCAATATGCATATATTTACTGAGATTTGCAGGTTTTTATATGAACATAATATCTTAGGTTGTTAGGGGTTTTTTTAACATCAAAGCTCTTATTTGTTTCGTAAGATGTACATTAGAGCACTTGTTCATTGAGCAGCTTTCTTTCTCTCCCTAGGTTCCACTGATTTTGGAAATGTCTCATTTGTTGTTCCTGGAATTCATCCTTATTTTTATATTGGCTCAGATGCATTAAATCATACTGAGCAGTTTACTGAAGCTGCAGGTAAGAGCTTTTTAAAACACAAAAAGCTTTAAATGCATAGATGTTTTCTAAAAATTCAGGTTTAGAAGAGGAACTGCTGACAGTGAGGAACAGTGACATTCTAGTATTAAAATGTTGCATACATTTTAAGGAATATGACATTTTGACACTTGCCTTTTGTACAAATGATGATCCAGTATTATATTATCTATTATAAGATGGGAAGGGTCCACATGGGAAGCTGGCAGTAGGCACTTAGAATTGCTCAGTAAGGCCAGTTCCCTCTAACTATTATGAATTGATAGTTGATTATGATCCATATTTGAATTGCAGCACTTTCTGGCCCTGGGTTTCTCTCCCAGTTAAGCCATATCGGGTGCTCTCCTGTGTGCTGACAGTTGCTCCCAGAGCCGCCTTCCTTCTTAAAATAACAGGCATGCTCAGCAGCTCTTACAGGTGGGTCTTTATGCGTAGCAAGGAGGAGCTGTGGAACTGTTACACAGGGCTTGTGTGACCGGTTTCCAGAAGTTGCTGTATAGGGTAAAAGTGCATTATGATTGGGCTTGGCGTAAGTGGGTAAAGTTAAGTTTACTGCATAAGGTGGTGTTGAATAGTCTAGTCTAATTTCACCTGTGCACCACATTTTGGAAAAACAAGGCATCGGAGGGTGGCTTTAATTCTTGTTAATTAAGTTTTGGGGTGTTTAATTACTTCAGAGATGTTCGCTCTTTGCTATAGAGTTTTTAATTTGAATCTTCTCATCTCCTAGCTGCCTGCCACTGGCTTAAAGAAATAGCATACATGCTTAGAGTGAAAACAAGTGGATTATATAGCAGTGGGAAATGAGCTCAGAGGTGGTTTCGTCTTGTTATGTCAGAGCACTTTACATTTAGAAGCATTTTTAAAAGTAGAAATTTAGAAAATGATTTGGAATTTAAACTCTGAAACTTTTCTAAAAGTATTTTATTTGCAATCATTGAATACATGGGTTTAGTAGTGATATCTTAACCTGTAATGTCTTGCTTTTTACTACAGGGTCAGAAGAAGCTCAGTTCTATGCTTTGCGCACAGCAAAAGCTTTGGCGATGACTGCATTGGATATTATTTTCAAGCCAGACCTTCTGGAAAAAGTTAGAGAAGACTTTAGACAGGTGAAACTAAAAGAGCAAGGACCTTTAACTATTCTTCAAGGCAAAGGATCTGGCCTTGGCATTGGGGCAGCATGTGCATCACGTTAAATATTCTCCACTTCTATGGGAGTAACTTAGTGGAATAATGGTTCTCTACTTGAAATCTAATGGAAGCTAGACAGACTTCTTAACTGTAGAAAGGATGACTTTGGACTCCTGAGGATATGAGAAATCAAATGCCAACATTTCACTTTCACTTCTCAAATTTTCTTTTTTCTAAATAACTTTAAGTAGCTGTAAACTTGCTTGCTATATTGACTAATATGACACATTTTCATAGATTTGCAAAGCATACAGTTAAGAAACTTAGCACCAATGACAACTTGGTAAATCTTTTAGAACCGTCATATAGATAACTCTTCCATCTGCTACGAATCTAATTCTCCCCTCTCATGTGGGTTCTATGGCGATCATCAGTTACAAATGCTTGTAGTTTAAATATGTCAGCCACAAATAGTAAACTTTCTATGATTTATGTCTAGAGGAACCATATATAAAAATCTGAGATGCATATCCACTAGCTGGAATTACAGACCTTCAGGAGGGTATAAAATTTATAGGGAAAATTTCTACATTTGAGTGAAAGTGAGGTGCATAAAATAATGATTCTGAATCCTTCAGTGTGTATGTCATTAGCTTCGTCCAAAGTTAGTATAGAAGTTGTTTTGATGGTCAGTGATTGTGAGATCAAAGTACAGGGTTTTATTTTTGTTTTGTTTTTTTGGTCACCCTTTCTTAGAGCTCTATCTACTAATACTATCTATAGTCGTCTTCTGATGGAATGCGTGCTTCCAGAGTACCTCAGTTTTAATGTAGTTAGTTTCACAACATGCGTCTCAGAAAAGGAGTACTGTCATCTCTGTATAAACTAAGGCATGGAGGGTAAAGGACTCAGTTTGAGTCACAAGTCTGCAATGCAGGAATTAAGCCTAGGTCTTCCAAATTCCAGGATAGGAAAGAGACCTCTAATAGTTCAGTTAGCTTGCATGGACTTACTTTAAAAACTGTGTACTAATCCAGGGGTGTCGATCTAGTCTGGCCCCAGGTAAGTGGTGCAGGATTGGTCCATGGGCCAAGTAAATGGTGTGTGCCTAGGCCGATGGGCTGTATTGGGCCCATGTATTCCCTTTCTCCCCCCTTCAACTTCTGGTCTGGGATCCAGTGAGAAGAGTCCTGGTATCCTGGGCCCTTGGGTGCTGCTGTGAGAACAAGCTGAAAAGCCTAGCTCCTTCCCATGTTGCTGCTGGGGCTCCAACCCCCTCGTTCCTACCTGAGTGCTTGGCTACTGCTACAGGAAGATCCCCCCATCCAATCATCAGTTTGGATGTTTGACATGCCTGTACTAATCTGTAGTAATTTCAGAACTAGATACTGAGAACATTTTTATATATGCTGTGGGATGCAGCGCTGGGTGCTTTAATTAGCAAGCCACACTAATTAAAAGCTCCCATGCATCATGTGTATCAGTATCCCCGTGCTGAAAAAATGGTGGTGGGACACTTAACTAAAGCTCATTGAATGAGTTTTATTTCAAAGCTCCCCACCACCATTTTTTCAGTGTGGATGATGCAGAAGGCTGCCTGAGTGCGTCAAGTTCCATACTTCAGCAGACTCGATTAATTAAGTCTGCTCTGACACTGGATTTCCAGTGCGTTGGAGCAGGCTCCACACACGTGCATAGGAGCCCTGAATGTTTGACCATTGTGATTCATTGGATATCACTTCCAAATGGTGTGTAGCTTGTTTGGGTTTTCTTCTTCACAGATCTTGGATTGTTAAAGTTTGTCCAAAGCATTTCACTTGGAGTTTCTTTTCAACAATGACTAAGCAGCCTGGAGATGAGTAGGAAAATCTTTTTTCCTACATGTAAGTAAATGTCTTCACAGTAAGTAGCTTGGGGTATGTTAATTTGAAAGGCTTTATATCTCCATTATGCTTGTATGGTTTTTCTCTTCTGTGAAGTCTTTGTCTACAATTTTGAGCTCCCCATGTGATTTTTTTTTTCCCCCCCTCTTTTTGTGGGCTACCTACTTTTTTTTTATTTTGTGACTTTGTCCATAAAAAATTCACAGAAGTAGTTGCACTACAAGTGTAGGCTTTTCCTTACACTAGAAACTTTAAAATGCTGCACTGGTTTGATGACTTTCTTTTTAGAAGCTCACTTTTGTTCAGGGCCTTGGTTCCCTTTTCAAAATAGATAGCTATTGGGCTAAAACATACAAGAGTTCATTTAATCAAGTCTCTTTACCACAGGTAAACAAATTGGCTAGTTTTGCCATAATGTGGATAAATTGTGGCCCCAGTTTTATTAACAGATATTCAGTCTTGCTCTGCTACACTATTTCTGTATTTCTTCTGCTGTAATTGTCATCACCCTGTTCAGTGTATGCATATTTTGCTATCAATAGAGGGTTCTGTGCATCTCTTGCGTCCATAATGCTGTGTGGAATAGTGCAGCATTGTTTGCTTATGCTATGAACTCTAGAGTTTTGTGCCTCCCAGACTGCTGTGCACAAGAAGATTAGTTTCAAGGGGAGAAAAGGGAATTGCTTCCTAGCCCTATGGGTTGAGCGCTGTTTCCACCCTTAACATGTTCAGCTCTCTGCAAGATGTAGCGATGATGGTTTTACCTTCCTTGTAAAGCATTGTGTAAAAGCCATGTGTTCAGAAGCTAGTCTTTCTCATTCAAAACTGTGAATTTTTAAGTTATTTTAAAAGAGGTAGTTAGTTATATTAGTCTGAAATCAAGTGGAAGGCAAGGCATAGTGGCATCTTTCTAAAAGACACGCTCTCTCTCTGCCTTCCCTTTGGCCAATCTTTTTAAAAGAAGTGACTGGCAGTCTCCAACTGCAAGCATTTTCTTTTTCCTAACAACAATAATGGTAGTCAAATATAGCATTTAATAGCAGCTGCTAAACTTTGTTACAGCTGCATTCACCCAATGAAGTGTATGCTTTAGATTCATGATTGCTGTTTTGCCTCAAATATCTATTACTTAGGGACCTGGACTTAACTGGGTTTGGGTTTAAGGTTTCCACATTTAGGATCTTAGCTCCATGACAATAATAGGTGGAATTTTTGAAGTGCCTGTATGACTGGAGCACAGTTCTTTTTTACTTGTGACACTGAATCTCATGAGCACTTCTAAAAATCCCCACTTTAGCTCTTAAATTCCCATAACAACTTGCTTTCCCACAAGATCTTTTCACACTTGTTCCAGTATTCTCAAAACCAAATTATCTCTGGCAGAAATATGTAATGTAGCAACTTAGAATGAATCTGTCGCAGACTAATGATTTACTTAAATGTTGCACTTTGGCATCATTTAAGGCTGGGTGATGGATATCAAACTTCTGAGAGAGGCTTCATAGAGCGGTGCTGGTAAGGTCCATCCTACAACTTGAGCAAAAGATATGCCTGGTAGACTATGAAAACTGACGTATACCTTTCTTTCATGAAGCTGTCCTGGACAAAGGAGGAGAACTTTGGTTGTTACCAAACATACTTCAACTGTCTACAAGGGTACAACAACCTTTCATTAGATTGAGGTCCCTTCCGGCCCTTAAAATCTATGAAATCTATAACCCATTATTTTGTATCAGGTGCACTCTTTTCGAGTAATCATTGCTGTTTTGCTGTCACTGTTTTACTTGTGCAATAAAAATTGATCTATGGTGTATAAAAACTTGTTCAACATATTCTAATGTAAAAATAAAGTTATTTGCTTAGTGTTCATGGTGGTTTGAGTACTTACTGTCAATCTTGGTGTAATGACTCCAGAAGAATAATAAATTATGCTAGTGGGTGCATGGCTTTTTAGGGTATTTTGAAGTTATGTACTGCTGGTCTCCTGGCTGGTCAAATCTGAACTACTTCACTGGCAAAATATACTTGCTGTATATCTGATGCTTCTCCATCTTGTTTTGTAAGATAGATTAATTGATCTTACCATTCTGGTTAGAGAGAAGGGGAGCTTTCTAAATTTTGAGTAAGCGTTAGCAATAGATAGCCTTTTATATTTGTACCCCCATGTAAAATACAAGTTCCACTGTCATGTCTTAACTCTTGGATGAAGGTTGCATTGCATTCTCAGCTGTTAACCTGATGTGCCAAATGTTTTACCTATGGACTGGTACTGTTGTATTGCAGTCTATTAGTCTCAAGGAAGCTGCTACATTAGCTGTGGAATTTGGAAGAGAGTTGTTGTTGCTGAAGACTTCAGGCTTAACCTGCACACTTCAACTCCTGCCCCTGAATTTTGCTGTTAGTGCCACAAGATGCTGACTATTTCTCCTGAGCACTTGCTCATCACGCAGTAGCAATTTCAGTTGAGCTGCTAGTAGCTCCCTCCTGAGAAGAGTAATCCACTCCCTGCCCTCCAGTGTGTCTGCTTTGCCCCATAATTTAGTGTCATTCATGAATTTGGACAGTGTGTTCCCTATGCCCATGTCCAAATCATTGATTATGTTGAACAGCACTGGCCCAAGGACTGAGCCCTGGGAGTCGCCACTGCCCACATTCTTCCAGGTTGCTATTGACCCATCCATCGCCACTCTTCGGGTGTGTCCCATTAGCTAATTTTCCACCCATTTGACTGTAATCAATCATTTAAGTCACGGTGGCTCAGATTTTTTATGAGACTAGGATGAGACGGTATCCAAAGGCTTTTTTAAAAATCCAAATAGATGTCTTATCCAAAGAAAAAAACCCCACAATACAAGTAAGTTCTGAATCTTGGGGTCTTTAAGCAGAGCCTGGACAAACACCTGGCTGGGGTGGTCTGACCCCAGCCCTCTTTCCTGCCCAGGATAGGGGGTCAGACTCAATGACATACTGAAGTCCCTTCTGACCTTAACATCTATGAATAAGAGAGTCTGAGGGAACTGGGCTTATTTAGTGTATAACACGTTATTGTCAACAGCTATGATTACTGGTGCTATGCAGCAGTATCACCCCCTCAAGAAATTCCACAGTTCTTCAGACAGGCAGTGTCTAGTGCATGTGTGCACACACATGCACATGGCTGCCAGGCAGCTTGGAGAGCAACCCCTTCCCCCTGATTTGTTGAGGGGGGAGGTGGATATGGTTTCATAGTTGGTAGGGTCGGAAGGGACCTGAGCAGATCATCAAGTCCGACCCCCTGCCATGGGCCGGAAGGAATGCTGGGGTCAAACGACCCCAGCAAGGTGTCTATCTAGCCTCCTTTTGAAGACCCCCAGGGTAGGAGCGATCACCACTTCCCTTGGAAGTTGGTTCCAGATCCTAGCCACCCTGACTCTGAAGTAGTGCCTCCTGATATCTAGCCTGAATCTACTCTCTGTCAACTTATGACTGTTATTCCTTGTTATTCCCAGTAGTGCTTGGGGGAACAGGGACTCTCCCATTGCCTGCTGGTCTCCCTGGGTCAGTTTATAGATGGCCACCACATCCCCTCTCAGCCTTCTCTTGTGGAGGCTGAACAGGTTCAGGTCTCATAGCCTCTGCTTGTAAGGCCTGCCCTGCTGCCCCCTGATCAAGAGAGTCCAGAGGAGGGCCACTTGCATGATGTTGTCCACATCCCGTCTGAAGTGAGGCGCCCAGAGCTGCATGCAGTACTCCAACTGTGTCCTGACCATAGAGGGGGAGAATCACTTCCTTGGACCTGCTCGTGTTGCATCTATGGATGCATGACAAGGTGCAGTTGGCCTTCCTGACTGCGGCCCCTGTTGATCTTGGAGTCTATAATGACTCCAAGATCCTTTTCTGCCTTTGCTGACGAGAAGGGAGTTCCCCAACCTGTAGGTATGCTGCTGGTTTTTTCTCCCTGGCCACTGTGGGCTCAGGCTTCCCACCCTGCTGCCCTGCCCCCAGGCCCTCCGTGGCCCAGCAGCAGGGCAGGGGGCCTGTGCCGCAGCCATGAGCCTGGCTCTGCCATGGCAAATTGCCCCCTGCCTGCCTGGAAGCAGCAGGAGCAGCAGCACAGAGTTGTGCCCCTTGCTGCTGCAGAGCAGTCAGGGGTTCCTCGCCATTGCAGCACCAAGCTTTCCCACCTAGCCCCACTCTACTATGCCACATTGAGTCTTGCCCACTGGGGACAGAGGGCAGCAGGGTGGGGAGCCCAAGTCTACAGCAGGTAGCCCTTATCCGCCTCTTGCCTAGAGATGTAAAATTGTTGGAAATTTTGAAGTCATGGGGAAAAAAATGTTTTTCCCCTGAAAAAAATGGAAATTTGGGGGAAAATTGAAATATATGCAATACTTATTTTCTTAGCACCCTTTACAGATCTAAATACATGTTGCTACTTTAAGAACATAAAATATATTATGCATAACTTGGTTTTGCTCGTAAAATTATGTTTGGTATATTTATTAAATTTTAAAGTGTAATTTATTCAGACAATAATTACAAATTTACTAATTTAATATACTTTAAAATGTACAAAATGTTTGTTACAAATGGAGCTACAAGCAGCTGAACTCTAAACATCTCTTAGTTTTTGCCAGATTATGAGAAGCAGGCAAAAATTGAAGTTGAAAAATAGAAGAAACCTTCAACATTATAGTAAAACAAAGAAAGTTCTTATATATTCTGGACTTGATCTCCTCCACAGTGTCAAGCAGATACAGAAATCACTCATTTTTAGAAAAAGATGGGGGGAAACAAGACTCATTGAATACAAATTTTGCTACATGAAACTGTCTAATCAGTCTCATTTTCTGAGGTATCACTATCAGCACTTTCTTCTTCTTCTGATCCTTCATTTTTATCATCTTCATGGACTTCTGGAAATTGAAGGTTTGCCCAGATTGAGACAAGTTTCTCTACTCTTTCACATGTTAATTTATTTCTTGCTTTGGTGCGAGTATTTCCAAATATAGACCATTTTCTTTCACATGCTGCAGAAGATGGAGGAATGTGAAGCAGGTGAGAAGCAAGAGGAGTCGGAGGCTGTGTTGTCCAAAGGCCTTGGCACCATGTTGCAG